CGGACAGCTGAAGCACTATCATAGTTGCATTGCAGAAACTGTTGAAACTCTCAGGTCCGGGAGCAAATGGGCAAATTCTGGCTCTGCTGTGAAAGGAAATGTCCTGGGAACTGAACACCAGATTGGGGAAGGCATACAGGTGAATGGACAGGTCCATAATTGTAAACCTATAATGTTACTGTGGGATAGGTACTGGAATTGTGAAAAAAGCGGTGCACAGCAACTGCATCCACAAAAATAGTAGACTGCGCTAATTCAATTTGTAGCCACCCTTGTCCACTTGGCAAGAGGACTCCGGAGAGACAGCAAATATGGACTTAGTGCACTGTGAGTGAGTGAGTTTTGTGTGCAACTGTCTTCAAACCAGAAAAGTTTCTTCTGTCTCTCATTGGAAGCAATGCTCTTCAGATCTTGACTCATTCTTGTAGCTCTTTTCAGAAGCCATTCCAATTTGTCAGTAACCCCTTTGAGGGGGAGACCTTAGGACTGGACCCAGTACTGCTTTATGCTTCTGCTTGATATTCCCTGATGTTTTATGCCTGGTTATTTCACTTAGCAATACATTATCTAATAAGTCACTTACAGCCATCCTCAGAATATGTTCCTATACATATTTCCTAGATTTTTTTTATAAATCATCTGTTTGAGACTCAAGTTTTACATTTTAGAAACATTTAAAATTATTTTGTCTAAATAATAGCATCTGTGCTCTAGCTTTGTGGAAATATATGCAGTGTTGCCATCACTGTCAGTCCCAGGATTTTAAAGAGAGAATGAGGTAATATATTTTAGTGGACTAACTTTTCTCTTACCAAAAGAAGTTGGTCCAATAAGAGAGAGTGCAACATCTTTGCTTATCTCTAGAAATATAGCATTTTAAAATTGTGAACAGCATTGTTATCTGCTGATAAAATGTCCGCAAAAAACAATTAAATACAAATCCAAAAAAGATAGTTTAAATTGTCATTCTTTACAATATCTTCTTGCACCTTCAGCTTGTGGCTGATCATCCATAAATAAAATGTATTTGATCCAATAAATATGCCTTTCACTGTGGGATTTTGTACATGTTCTTGAGTCCGAAAGGAATGGAGCTCATATTCAGTGCCATAACCTTCATGTTGTCTGACAAACACAGACAATCCCAATGAACCAAAGAAACAGAGATCAATAAGATTTCTGAGAGGGCCTCAGTTGTGGAACAAGCCTCTACCCTTGTCTATTAAGCTACATCTAGACTACAGGCCTCTTTCGGAAGAAGCTTTTTTGGAACAGATCTTCTGAAAAATCTTCTTCGGAAAGGGTGTGTCCACACTGCAAAAGTGCAATCTGCTTTTTTGAAAGATAGTGTCCACGTGGAATGGATGCTCTCTCGTATGTAAGCTGTGATTACAATGGATGGAATGGCCACCAAGGCACCTGAGCTTTTTTCTCTTTCCTCTTCTTCCAAAAGAACTCCCTCTTCCCTATCCACAGGCTTCTTCCTGGTAGAATGAGGATTACCAATGCCGGAATAACTCCTTTGTTCTTTCGATTTTTCTTGTGGAAGAACGCAATTGCAGAGTGCACGTTCTTCAAGTTTTGTCGGAAAAACAGCTGTTTTTCCAACAAAACTCTGCAGTGTAGACATACCCTTATAGTCCAACATTTTTGAGCTTATATACTGCATGATTCATGTTTTCACGTAGGTGATAGTTTGGGTATGTCTAGACTACATGGCTCCGTCGACAGAGCCATGTAGATGACTTTTCTAGACATAGGGAAATGAAGCAGCGATTTAAATAATCGCCGCTTCATTTACATCAAAATGGTCGCCACGCTGTGCCACAATTGACAATGGAAGCCTTTGTCAACCGCCCTGGTAAACCTCATTTCACGAGGCATACTGGGGCGGTCGACAAAGGCTTCCCTTGTCGACCGCGGCGCGTCCAGACTACCGCGCTGTGCCGCCAAACAGCGCATCGGCACAACGCGGCGGCCATTTTGATGTAAATGAAGCAGCGATTATTTAAATCGATGCTTCATTTCCCTATGTCTAGTAAAATCATCTACACGACTCTTCTGACGGAGCCATGTAGTCTAGACATACCCAAACTATCACCTACGTGAAAACATGAATCATGCAGTATATAAGCTCAAAAATGTTGGACTATAAGGGTATGTCTACACTGCAGAGTTTTGTTGGAAAAACAGCTGTTTTTCCCCAGCCATTTTGATGTAAATGAAGTGGCAATTATTTAAATTGTTGCTTCATTTCCCTATGTTTAGAAAACTCATCTACATGGCTCCGTCGATGGAGCCATGTAGTCTAGACATACCCTTTAAGTGGGGGGAGTGAGTGTGGGAACCTTAGAGTCCTAAAGACTTGGTAATACCAGTGGATTGTAGCAAAATACAGGACTGTGTAGCACTTTAAAGACTAACAAGATGGATTATTAGATGATGAGCTTTCGTGGGCCAGACCCACTTCCTCAGATCAAATAGTGGAAGAAAATAGTCACAGCCATATATACCAAAGGATACAATTTTAAAAAAATGAGCACATGAAAAGGACAAATCAAATTTCAGAACCGAAGGGGGATGTGGGGGGGGG